AGCTTGTGCTGTTCCTTGCACAGGACACAGAACCAGCGACGTCGGTTGTTTTCCGTCTGGGAAGACGTGGCCGACGTAGTCAGAGTTGTTCGTCGCGCCGAGGTCTCCCGTGCACTCGTGGATGGCCTTTTTCTTTCTGGATCGCGGTTATGGTTGGCCGAGTTTCTCAAGATGGCAGTCTCTGTCTCCAGCCACTTGCTGAAGATCTCCAGATCGGGCTGCTTGGGATGCATCTGATGCACTTCTCGTCCCCACTGGTAGGACAACTCCGCAGGAAGCTTCAATACCACTCGACGCAGATTCTCGATGGCTCTCAGATCATTGTAGTGGTTCAGAGCGCGCAGCGTCAGCACAGTGTTGCTGACAGCTGAACTGAACCTCTCCACTGAGGCGATGTTGTTGATTGAAGGAGCTGGGGTCGCAAACATGGAACTGAGATATGCTTGACTGATGTCACCTTCTCGACCGAAACGCTCGTGCAGCCTTGCCAACGCCTGGTGATACATCTTGCCATTGAACAAGAATCCCTCGATGGCTTGATGGGCGACTCCATCTACTGCTTGCTGTAGAAGCGCCATCCGCTCCGTGTCAGAGAGAGATGCCTGATCGTGAACCAGTGCTCTGAAGAGACTGATCCAGCGCGGCCACTCACTTGGTTCGCCTGTGAACCGCGGTAAATTAAGACGTGGAACACTGTTGGTAAAAGCTGACATCCCAGGAGGTGGATGCCCGTGCTTCTCCTGCCCTTTGCTGTTTGATGTCCAGTTGTCTGGGTTCAGAGATGAACCATCCACCTCCACTTCCGGAGCAGCTTTAGGTCCTTGTGGTCTTGGACCAGGCACATAGTCGGGTACGCTCGAGCGATGCGGTGGTTCGGCAGCTTGATCTACCCCCGCACCTTCAGCAGATGCCTTTCTTCCTTTGACAGCTGCTTCGTCGAAATCATGCCGACGATCCCAGTTCAATTCGTCTTCCGCAGCCTGATACATGTGCACCTTCCGAGCAGCTCTGTCGCGGGCCTCTTCAGCTATTCTGAGCTGTAGCACCCTGTCGCGTTCATCTAATTCTTGTCTTTCTTTCATGTTCCGACGACTCTCTTCCACTTGAGCTTGGAGGTCCCGCAGCTTGCGATCAGCGTCATCCAGTTCCACAGCAGCCTCTCTGGATCGAACTGAAACTGCGGTGCCTGCTGACGTGTGTGACTTGGCACGACTTCGAGTGTGACGGGAAGTGGCAGCTGATGACTTGGCTTCATCCAACTCTTGAAGGTACAGCTGGATCTTCCCCCGAATAGCCGACTCTTCTTCTTCAAGATTATCAGCGTATCGCTGAGCTTCCTCCAGTTCTGCGTCATTGAGTTTGGTTTCATACTCCTGATGAACTTTTCTCAAATCAGAAAAAGCTTCTTTCAACCTTCCGTTTACTTCCTGGATGCAATCGCGGTTCCGATGTCTTGCTATCTCTGCCTCTAACACCTTGGACACCCTCGTCACGACAGCCCTCTTGATACCACGCAGTCGTCGCAGACCAGCAAGCTCTTGATCTCTAACATCCTTAAAAGCTCCATCTGCAGTGGGATCGGGCCGTTTGACATCCTTTGCCTCTTCTTTTTCTATCCCCATCTTCTCCTGTTCAGCTCACTGGTCGCAATCCGGCCCGCGGAGGACCAGAAATGTCGCCACGTGTCCTCTGGTATTTCACACGCCAACGACACTTATTTAGCCGGATGATAGACAAGGACTGTAGGAGAGCGATGGGTAGATCAGGATGGTGAGGAAGACGCCAGCCGCTGCCCAATGCCAGCCTCTCGATGGCGAGACCACTGTAATTGGACAGATCAACCGATACTCCGGCGCCTCGATGGCAAGGTTAGCCGGAGCCGACTGGTCGCACCCCTGTCTGAGCGGAGACCCCGCACCCGAGCCTCGATGGCAAGACCCGGGGAACGAGTTTAAGCTCAGTGACTCGATGGCGAGACACTGTGGCCGCCTCCCTCACACACCCCGGAAGAGGCCGTGTTATGAGTCCCGGATGAAAGGAAATGATCGGCTACTCGCACGCTGAGAAGACTTGCTGCTGTTCACTGTCGCGTCCCCTTTTCCACTGGTCCAGCTCCTCTCCACACCAGTTAAGATATTTCACTTGCTGTATTGTGCACCACCACCACACCACAGCCAGAGCACCACTTCCACCCACACAGCGAGCACTTCCCCGCCGAGCATCCAGAACGAACTACCCTCAATAACCGCGCGCTGACCCGAGGTCACCTCGCATGCGCCTCGAGGGCAGGAGCCCAAGCAGCCAATCACCGGCGAGAGGCAGTGAGAGGCGGCGAGAGGCAGTGAGAGGCGGTGAGAGGAAGTCAGTGAGCAGAGGCAGGCAGTCAGAGACAGGGAAGGAGGCAGTGAGAAGAGGTGAGAGGCAGTGAGAGGCGGCGAGAGGCGGTGAGAGGCAGTGACATGCAGTGAGAGGCAGTGAGAGGATGTTAGAGGCAATGAGAGGCAGTAAGAGGCAGTGAGAGGCGGTGAGAGGCAGTGAGAGGCAGTAGAGACGATGAGAGGCAGTCAGTGAGCAGATGCAGGCAGTCAGAGGCAGAGCAGGAGGCAGTGAGAGGCGGTGAGAGGCAATGAGAGGCGGCGAGAGGTGGTGAGAGGTAAAAACATGCAGTGAGAGGCAGTGAGAGGCAGTGAGAGGAAGTTAGAGGCAATGAGAGGCAGTAAGAGGCAGTGAGAGGCGGTGAGAGGCAGTGAGGGGCAGTCAGGGACAGTGAGAGGCAGTGAGAGGCAGTGACAGGTAGTGAGAGGCAGTGAGAGGCGGTGAGAGGCAGTGAGAGGCGGTGAGAGGCGGTGAGAGGCAGTGAGAGGCAGTGAGAGGCAGTGAGAGGCAGTGAGAGGCAGGGCAGGAGGCAGTCAGAGGAAGTCAGGGGAAGTGAGAGGCAGTGAGAGGCAGTGAGAGGCAGTGACAGGTAGTGAGAGGCGGTGAGAGGCAGTGAGAGGCGGTGAGAGGCAGTGAGAGGCAGTGAGAGGCAGGGCAGGAGGCAGTCAGAGGAAGTCAGGGGAAGTGAGAGGCAGTGAGAGGAAATGAGAGGTGGTGAGAGGCGGTGATAGGCAGTGAAAGGCAGTGAGAGGCAGTGAGAGGCGGTGAGAGGTGGTGAGAGGTGGTGAGAGGCAAACAGGGGCAGTCAGGGCAGTGAGAGGCAGTGAGAGGCAGTGAGGGCAGAGGCAGACAGTCAGCGGCAGGGCAGGAGGCAGTCAGAGGAAGTGAGAGGCAGTGAAAGGTGGTGAGAGGCGGTGAGAGGCAGTGAGAGGCGTGAAAGGCAGTGAGAGGCAGTGAGAGGTGGTGAGAGGCAGTGAGAGGCAGTGAGAGCAAAGGCAGTCAGTGAGAGCAGAGGCAGGCAGTCAGAGGCAGGGCTGAGGCAGTCAGAGGCAGTCAGGGGAAGGCAGTCAGAGGCAGGGCAGGAGGCAGTGAGAGGCAGTGAGAGGCGGTGAGAGGCAGTCAGGGCAGTGAGAGGCAGTGAGATGGTGAGAGGCAAGTAGAGGCAGTGAGAGGCAATGAAAGGCAGTCAGGGGCAGTCAGGGGCAGTGAGAGGCAGTCAGGGACAGTGAGAGGCCACCACTGCAGACCATTCCTCCCACAACCGCAGACCATTCCTGTCAGGTGTCTCATGTATCAGGTACCGGGCCAACGGGGTTCATTCAATCCACTGAATATGAATCTGACTATAAAGCTGAGTTAATCAACAGTGGAATGGTTGAAAATACACTCACTTACGGTGCATGACAATTTTTAGAGGCATAACTGTAATGTCTTTGTTATCTGGTTCAAACTTCAAGATAAGCTGCATGTCACACCATGGGGCATGGGTGGGATGTAGGTGGGCCTAGTGAGCAGCAAGTCAGTCCTTGAGCTGGTTGACCGAGCCTACACCATCAAAAAAGGGGGCAAGTGGTTAATCGCCGACAGCCTTGACCGAGAATGTTGATATGTTTCAACAGACGCAAGTGGCTGCATGGGGCTTGGCCAAATGTCATACATTAAGCCCCTTACCGATATGAACGATAATATCATAGGTATAAAATAAATACAATGATTGGAACAAGAATTGGTTGAACATTGGGAATTTCAATTTAGGTACATTACATCTTAGCAAGTCACAGAACTTACTTGCAACAATAATTCCAATAATATAATTTATTGGAGGTTAATGACTGCGATATAGATTATTCTATTGATAATGATTATTTTTACCTTACTCCTCAATCCTAGGCAGCAACCAACCTCTATGCTTGACCATTGCCGGTGGACGGTAGACCAGCGCGGTGTTTACATTTTTTTGCGCCTTGTTTGTCGCTGAAGCGCAATTCAAAGTGCTGGTCAGCCATGTTTGACTGAAAATATTTATTCTATTTAATTAAAAACCTAGTCATAGAAAGGCTTGCCGAGCTTAGCTAATACTACCATTCGATTGAGAAAATAAAACTGAAGGGAAAAACGAAATTTTACGAAAATTGAAGGGGTCCGCAGGTCAATGACCTTGACCTTTGACCCATAATTTCTCAGAAAATGAGGCTTGCCGAGATTATTTATTTAAGCACAGTAATAAGTGATTCTAAATGTATTATCCCACCAAATTTCAAAGAAATCTGTGGGGTCCGATCTAGAAGGGTCACGTGACCTCAACGTGGCCGCGACCTTTGACCTCGCCGTACTCCTAGGTCAGGGCGTGCCGAGCTAAGCTTTTACTATTGTCGTGATCAGCACATTTTTATCTATCAGTGAGCAAATTTGTAAGAAAATTGAAAGGGTCCGGCCTGACTGACCTTGAACTTTGACCCTTGATAACTCCGTAAGTAAGGCTTGCCGAGCTTAGATTTTGTGCTTATCGTACTCAGGAGGTCAAGATCTATCATTTAGGTGATTATGAGCCGGATCGTAGGGGTCCGCTGGATTCGAATATCAAACAGCTGTTTGATATCAATCGGCTGCACACTTGACGAACATGCTAATTTCGTAGTTTATTTGGAGCGATATGGCAGCAATTATTTTCTACGGAGAGTTTTCTCTACCAGGTGCTTTCGCCAATAATGATGAAATGCATAGTAGGCTTTCTGAACTGAACTGTGGCGTAAATATCGCGTGGACCCGTCTCGATTGGATAACGAAGGACTATGAGTTAAACACGTGGACACTTCATGCACGTTCCTTTGCGGTCGGAGGGAGCCTGAGGCCGCGCTGTGGCCTCCGTCCTACCCAGCGACCTCGGCGAGCGGGCCGTCGGAGCGCTGTGCTCCAATAGTGCCCGGCCCTGAGCGCGCCGCCCAGGAGCGCTGCGGGTACGCCTGCCGTTCGGGCCGCTTCTCGGCGTCGCCGTGGTCCTGATAGCGATGTCGGAACGAGGCCAGCGGGTAGAAGGTTTGTACGCGCGCCGTGATGTTGCCCGTGGTGTGTCCCTCGCGGTCGGCGCCCTGCGGCGTGCGGTCGGCGAACGCCTCCGTGTAGTCGGTGCAGAACGTCCTCCGGTCGAGCTGCAGCTGTTTGATGGGGTTGTTGGAGTTGAAGCCGGAGCTGTTGATTTTGGTGGGCAGCAGGATGGCGCCGGGCTCCCGGTCGGCCGGGTTGCCGAAGTCCTGCTGGTGTTTGGTCTGCGGAGGCCGCAGCTGACCGGCCACCGTCACCGGCCGCTGGTTGGGGTAGCCCGTGCCCACGTCCCTGGTGTCCGTGCTGGTGGAGGGCAGCTGAGCGCCGGGACCCAGCGGCGCCGTGGAGAAGTAGCTCTGGTAGGCGGTGGGCGGTGTGGCGAAATGACGCGCCTGCGGACCGCCCTCGGCGCCGCGCTCGTGCGTGAAGCCCGTGCTGCAGATGATCTCTGGGTTCTCCGGACAGCGAGTGCCGGAGAGGTCCCCGTGGAAGGGCTTCTGCTTGAAGATGGCGTGGTACTCGGAGACGTAGTCGTTGTGCTCGTTCTTAGCCAGGTGCTGTCGCGCCAGTGGCTGGTGCTTGGGAAACGTTTCTGCCCGGCTGTCCGGCTGCCTCCAGTCCCTGGGAAATTTGACCAGCTGGTGCGTGGGCGTGGCGTTGCTGGCGTACCCAGACGCGGTGCTGTCGTTGACGGTGGCCGGCAGGGGCTCGCGGCCGTCGTGCATCACCCAGGGCGGGTGCCGCTCGGGCAGCGCGGACCGGCACAGCCCACTGGTGAGGGCCTTCACCTCAGCTCCGGCCATTACGCCGATGTCACCAGTTGGCACCAGAGAGCGGATGAAGCCAGTTCCGTTCCGGATGAGTGGCGGGTTCGGCTTGTAGGCCGGCTTATTGTGAGCGAGAGAGTACGATGTCGCGTAGAAGTCCATGTCGTACGTTCCACCTCCTTGACTTTGCTCGATGTGGCGGCTACCTCTTGAAGTGCTGGAATAGTAATACATTGCTGATCCTTTTGCGATGCTTCTGGAACTCAAACCTTCACGTACTCAGTTCCTGAAACTAAACGGAATGTTTACTGTGAAATTTTCGCAAATGCCTATTTTTATACGCATATGTCCCTACATGCATGGGCGGCGCTACTGATTTGTCTTCCAGTCTGTCGTGCAATCCAAGGCCATATAAGTTGTGCAATCAGCTCATGTTGATCCTAAACATTTTTCAAGGTTTGACAAAACTTCTTAGCCAATTTGTAACACCATCAGTTGCTAGGCAACCATCATGACACCGGATCTGATCCTCCGGTCTGGACGACAAATTATGGCTGTGTCAAGTGTCGGCTAGCCCTTCGATACACCAAGGATAGGGTCGCTCATAACTGTCCACAATCAGTGAGGTGGAATCGGCGACTAGCCCAAACAAAAATAAAACTTTCGGGACGAATCTCGTCATTCGAAAAATCTTAAGGCCCATGGATGGTAGCTTTGCAAGCCACTGCATAGCATTCCACACCGGGATTACCTAAACCTTAAACGTACTTAACGAGTTCCCACGACTTGAAGAGGCAATATGGGCGTGATACAAATATCTCTCCTGTGAATAAGAGGTCACCGTGAGACACAATTCATATGGAAGTATGAGTGAACTTTTCTTACCTAGATGAATACGACAGTGAGTATATGACTACGATATAAATTTTAATCACTGAACACGATTTATTTCGCAAGTATGATTCACAAACCATAGATGTTACCGCCAATATTCGCCATCTTGCCCATCGTCTTTCGAAAATACCCCAAAGACAGGACTAGTCAAGGAATATGCATTATATAATATATCGTTAACAAAGTGCTACAACATACATTCCTCTGACACCTTAAATTCGCCTCAGTGGTAAATGAACAAATCATCCCCTTTTCATTCAATCACACCACTCAGCAAACGCTTTAATATAGATTCGCCGCGATTAACCTGCTTACGATCTTGCAAAGCAATAAGACTGTAACCCCGACGTCAGGGCACTGCAATCGTTACAGAGGTCGAACACAATACTCCCGCCCCAATACTCGCTGAACTGTGGCCGAGACAGGGCTTCAGCACCCTGGGAACGGCCCCACCGGTGGATGGGAAGGCACGATGGCGACTCAGACAGATCTCACCGCGGCAAGCACGGCGACGACCAATCCCAAGCGTCCTCCGGCTCCATCTAGTCCTCCCACTCGTCATCATCGTCTTCCTCATCGTCGTCATCATCGTCTTCGTCGCTGGAGTGGATGACGCGCTTCCTGTCGGCCAGCGCGCGCGCCAGGGCGCCGGCCAGGCCGGGCGGCGGCGCCTCGGAGGCCGCGGGCGCAGGCGCCGGTTTGTCGGTGACGTGTCGCAGCGTGGCGCCGCCGCGGATCTGTGCCATCAGGTCATCCCGGCCGCCACCACCACCACCGCCGCCGCCGCCGCTGCCTCCTGTGTCATTGGAGGCCGCTACTGGCCGCAGCGTGGTGCCCGCCCGGATGGAGTCCAGCAGCTGACTGCGACTGTCAGAGACCGCGGGCAGGCCCGGTTTGGCGGCCGCTGACGGCGGCGGGGGCGGTGGCGGCGGCGCCGGTACGCCCGCGGGCGGGGGCGGAGGCGGAGGCGGAGGAGGTGGAGGCGCTGAACTGGGTACTGGCGGCGGGGGCGGCGGCGCCGGAGCGCCTGGTTTGGCGGCGGCGGACGGCGGCTGCGGCGGCGCCTGCCGGGTACGACTGGGCGGCGGCGGCGGCGCGGCGCCGCTGTGCGTCAGGGGCGGTGTGGAGCGGACTGGCGGCGCCGGCGGGGCTGTTGGCCGGCCGGACGCCGGCGGCTGCCGAGTGGGGACCGGTGGCGGCGGCCCGGGCGCCGCTCCCGGCACACCCAGCTGGTGCACCTCCTTGATGGCCGCCTCCACACCGCCGTGCTTGTCGATGAAGTCGTAGATGAACTTCCGCGTGTCCTGGTCCTGTAGCTGAGTGTCTGACACACCAGCTCGGTTGAAGAACTGTTTCAGATTGGGGTCGACGTTCTCCAGGTCGAAGCCTTTGTGTGGGTCCCAACCAACATGCGAGATATGCTGGAAGTTGGTAGGCAGCGAGATGTCGGCCTTGCTCAGTTTGTTTCTCTTCTGCTTTCCTCGCGGCAGACCACGGTCAAGCTGTTGCGTGGGTGCTGGCCGCTGCTGAGGCATGGTGCCCGAGCGTGGCAGGGTGCCGTTCGAGTGGCGACTTTCGCCCATCTGACGGGACCGGAAGCGCTGCTCCTTCTTGAGCTGCTTGTTGTGCAGGTGCTCTTCAATGCGCCTACCGAACTGGTCAGCCTCCGACTCATCGGCAAAGTTGAGCCCCGCTCGGCAATCGTGAGCCTCAAATGTGTGGAAGAAATTCCGAGTGCGGCTGTACTTGAAGTTCTGGTAGAGCTCCTGCTCCCAGAGGCGCGCGTCGGCCGAGTAGAGCTGCAGGAAGTAGGCGCGTCGCGAGTTGTCGCGCACGAAGCAGACGACGCCCGTGTCGTGCCGGATCCAGGCGGTGTGCGTGGGCGGGCTGGTGCAGTACAGCTGCACGATGGCGGTGGCCAGCGTCTGGCAGCGCTCGCCCAGCAGCCGGAACAGGCGCTGGTTCTCCTCCGGGGTCAGCAGCTGGGTGGGCACGTTCTCCGCCGGGCGGCTCGACTGCACGCCAGCGGCCGGCGGCGGCGGCCGCATCGGCATCGTCATGGCCGTAATGGTGTGACGCTACCTGTCAGGACAGAGGAGCTGAATCAACAACGACATCAATTCCAAACGCATAATTAAGTTGACTGTCATAAATCAGTGATGAGTCATAATGCTGTTTAACTTAACTATTTGGAACAAAGTTGGGCATATGTAAAGGTAAAGAGATGACAGAGATGAAAGAGATGAAAGTCTTTCATTTAGTAAATACCTTAGTGCATTTAGTAAATGCACATAGGGAGTGAGGGATCAGGAATGCACCAAGCCCTGAGATGGAGATTGGAAGAAAAGAAAATTATTTAAGGAGGGAGGGAGGGAGAGAGAGAGAGAGAGAGAGAGAGAGAGAGAGAGAGAGAGAGAGAGAGAGAGAGAGAGAGAGAGAGAGAGAGAGAGGAGAGAGAGAGAGAGAGAGAGAGAGAGAGAGAGAGAGAGAGAGAGAGAGAGAGAGAGAGAGAGAGAGAGGAGAGAGAGAGAGAGAGAGAGAGAGGAGAGAGAGAGAGGAGAGAGAGAGAGGAGAGAGAGAGAGGAGAGAGAGAGAGGAGAGAGAGAGAGAGAGAGAGAGAGAGAGAGAGAGAGAGGAGAGAGAGAGAGAGAGAGAGAGAGAGAGGAGAGAGAGAGAGAGAGAGAGAGAGAGAGAGAGAGAGAGAGAGAGAGAGAGAGAGAGAGAGGAGAGAGAGAGAGAGAGAGAGAGAGAGAGAGAGAGAGAGAGAGAGAGAGGAGAGAGAGAGAGAGAGAGAGAGAGAGAGAGAGAGAGAGAGAGAGAGAGAGAGAGAGAGAGAGAGAGAGAGAGAGAGAGAGGAGAGGAGAGAGAGAGAGAGAGAGAGAGAGAGAGAGAGAGAGAGAGAGAGAGAGAGAGAGAGAGAGAGAGAGAGAGAGAGAGAGAGAGAGAGAGAGAGAGGAGAGAGAGAGAGAGAGAGAGAGAGAGAGAGAGAGAGAGAGAGAGAGAGAGAGAGAGAGAGAGAGAGAGAGAGAGAGAGAGAGAGAGAGAGAGAGAGAGAGAGAGAGAGAGAGAGAGAGAGAGAGAGAGAGAGAGAGAGAGAGAGAGAGAGAGAGAGAGAGAGAGAGAGAGAGAGAGAGAGAGAGAGAGAGAGAGAGAGAGAGAGAGAGAGAGAGAGAGAGAGAGAGAGAGAGAGAGAGAGAGAGAGAGAGAGAGAGAGAGAGAGAGAGAGAGAGAGAGAGAGAGAGAGAGAGAGAGAGAGAGAGAGAGAGAGAGAGAGAGAGAGAGAGAGAGAGAGAGAGAGAGAGAGAGAGAGAGAGAGAGAGAGAGAGAGAGAGAGAGAGAGAGAGAGAGAGAGAGAGAGAGAGAGAGAGAGAGAGAGAGAGAGAGAGAGAGAGAGAGAGAGAGAGAGAGAGAGAGAGAGAGACTTAAATACTTCAGGCTCAGAGTCTTATCTAAGTTCTACTGCATCTCTTTTCAGCAAGCACAAATCAATGTTAAACAGCTTTTGCTAGTTCTGTTCAAGTGGTAAGTATACACACCACACAGCCCTTGGGGTTGTGTGTCTTGCAGTTCATCATTTCATGGTTCCTACAGTTATATAAATGCATCCTGTAACCCCTCATCAAAATGATATTTTAAGATGTGTGGAGTTGTGTGTTCGATTGACTCTTGCTTTCATAGGGTGCCTGGCATCTGTCACACTTCCCACATTACGAAAGCTTGGTTTTATAAAGCACACTCAAAGAAGTTGTAAATAAAAACACAATCTAATTATGGTTATGCAAGTATGTGTAAGAAAACAAATCATTAAGTTTATGCAAAGCAGTCCTAATTAATACATGTGCCTGCGTATATTCAGTCCCTGTATGGCCAAGAGAATTGCTGTTAAAAATATGGAAACAGATAGACACTCTGGTCTACCTACAACCATTGAACGAAATGCGTGCAACTCTCCTAAGCCCTTGGCATAGCTCTCAGTAGTCAGTATCATCCTACATCAGTCCCACGCACAAGGGGGAAAAGCTCAAAAAATTGAGCGCTCAAAAAATTGAGCGGGCCCCATTATGAAGGAATAGGCGAAACGATGGTATTTTACAATGCCGTTAGCGTCACACTACGGCAAATATCGTATCCAAATAAGGTATCAATGGCAAGAGAGAGCAACAAGGTTTCTTCTCGAACACTTGCCGTGATAATTCATATCGGTGTTTTTGGAAAGAAAATGCCCTAAAGACGCTCAACTTTTTGAGCGCCACTTGTCGCTCGGGACCGCGATACTCAATAAATTGAGCGCCACGACAGACGACAGTCAGCTGGCGCTCAAAAAATTGAGTGCCGGCCAGCATCTACACTCAATTTTTTGAGCGTTCTCCGTGACAGGTGAAGCAGGTACTGGCTGCCATTTCTGATGTTATGTTCGTTGAAATACGTTAAACTGAGTTGAAACAGAAATGCAGTAAGTTGAATGCTACGTGGTACCTAAACTTTTCACAAACCCATGGCATCATGTCACATTTTCCGCTAGTAGTTTTATCGGTCGCGTTTCGGATTCGGCACACCTCAAATAATTATACAGGGCTTGAATAATCCGTATGAATACTGTATTGATATTCTCTGACTGTACTGGAAGAAGGGAATACGTGAATACAGAAAGATATCCACCCACGCTTGAATATTGGAGAATTATAGCAGGAAAAACTGTATTGCCACGGTTACAACTTACAAGGCTATCGGCCGCAAACAAACAAAAATACTATACAATGTGGGTTAGATTCACAAACATCATCAAGTGTGGAACACAGAGACGAGCAAAACAACATCACATTATCGCATGCCAGCCCGACCACATTGGAACCGGGTGACCTGCGACCGGAACCTGCGTCTTGCCAGCATACATCACAAAAGCAGGAGGCAGTGTCGTACTGCTTTGATCCAAAATATGCCATATAACAAATGATATAAACGACCTAAGCTCGGACTAAGCTAATCATTATCAAATCCTTAACATGTAAAGGACGAATGGAAACATCGAGTCTCAGACCAGCAGTAGCAACCATCACAGTAGCAACATCACAAAGAACACGCGGCATTTTCAGACAGCCGTTTTGTTATCGGGCTACAGGCGGCGACGGCGTGGTTGCAGACCAGCTGCGAGGTAGCGGCGTGCGGGCAAAAGGCGCGGGCACACCTCCATGTGGCCGTGCGGACAGTGCGCGGTCGGCGTCGCATAGTGGGCGGCATCGGGCTGTCCCGGGGCCGTCGAAGCCGCACAGGTTGTCGGCGCATGTGGGCGCGCGCGGTCAGCACGGCCAGCTGCTCACCGCCAGCACAGACTGCGCAGCGTCGCCGCTCCGCCGGCCAGAACACGCAGACAACCCTTCTTGCAGTCGCACAACACGTCGCCAAACTCATTCACCTGCTCCACCATGTTGTTGATGTCACCAAGTCGTTCAAGTTGTGGCTCGTGCCGTCGAGCATGACCTGCCCGATCGGACACGGGTCAGCGGCTTCTGCTCCAGCGAAGTCTTCATCTTGGTGACGTCTTGCTGATCTCCACAAAGGCTGAGCAGATGACCTTACCCACAAGGACGGCCGACGTCCTCGCCAGCGACCGCTTGGTTGTGCAGACCTGCCAGAAAAAGAAAAGCTGTTTGGTGATCTCAAACGATTTTTTTCTTTATGCAGTGGAAAATGGAAAATATGTCATACAACAGGAACTAAAAAAAGATGCAGCCTAGGTCGTCTAAGAAATGAGTGCAACATTGATAAAATTCTTCATTGAATGAGTTCTGCAAATACTTTTGATAAAATGTGTGGTGATTATAAGGAGACCACTTTACTATAAAATTGCTCAGGATTCCCTATCTGGACCTGTCAAAAAATCCTGACTGCACACCAACAATGAGCATTAAATCCGAAACCTCTACCAGGTACCTAGGGATAATTAAATTCTGATTCATGAAAATATTTCACATCATACAAATAAAAAGCCTTTACTATATTGAAACTGAAAATGTGATGCCGATCCAGTGACCTTTGGGTCTCAAAGTATAATAATGAATAAATCTATTATAAATTTGGTGGTGACTGCCGACTGGCATCTGGCGGCCTAGACCTTCAGGCTTAAAAGTGGCCTTCCTTTTCCGTTGACTTCGATCCTCCAGATGGAAATGATATAAAGGATCATTTTTATCTTATTTCATATGAGCCAGTCAGCAAAGTGGCTATCCTGTTTCAGCATTCACACACACAATAGTTGACTGTCAGTCTGTCATGCTGTCAGTGTTGTGAAGTAACGAAGGAGTTGAGTTTTGTTGATTATAAATTGTGATGTTATGTAAAGGACTGGAAAATGAATGTGAAAACTATGGAAACATATTGGCAGAGTATTGTCACTTACTATCAGGACATATGGATAGAGAATACGCTCAAATTAATAAGAAATGCCAAATATCAAGGTACTCAATCACTGATAGCAGTGGACTACCATATGTTTTCATGTCAATTATATGAAAGTTAAGACTGAAACTACCTTTTACCTCATCCTACCTAATGAAAAATTGTGTGAAGAAAACATTCACAGCCTCTTTGAAGCACTTAGACCACTAAAAAACAAAAATTTTCACGTAAATATGTTGTGTCTCCTTCCTTCAAAACATCATATCGGATGGCGCCACTTTCGTCGACAGTTACTTATCTGCACGCAAATCGAGGAAAACGTGAATTGATTGACGTTTACGTGTTTCCAAATTTAAAATCACAGCATATTCAAACTTTTCAGTGTACCTTTTAACATAAAAGTATAACTAAAACGATAAAAACTTACCTTCAACACAAGGACGACGACGACCACACGGCCGGAGACGTCGCGACGAAATAAACAAACGGCGCCGCCAAATGAAAAATATTCTCCGATATGGGTAATGTGAAATTGAGTCGCAATCATTTTGGGTAGTATGAAAAATGCTCTTTCCAACAGAACCCTAGTAAAAAACGTGAATGGACAAAAAATAACTTTTATTTCGACATAAATATTGGCCTGTTTTTAGGTCATCCTGGTATGCCGTAAGATTTCGACCTATAAATTGGTGTTCCCCCAATCATTGAAGCTTGAGCAGTGAAAAATATGAAAGCCTAATCTGTTTTGCATCATTAGTGATTCTCCTAGGGTGTTGCCATTTCTCCCTAGGTGTTGCGAGTTGCTTTTGCAAAACGTGTTCCTGAAACGGCTCAATTTTTTGAGCCCTCAGCATTACGCCTATGGGAGCCTCTGACGTCACACGCTCAATATTTTGAGCACTCAATAATTTGAGCTTTTCCCCCTTGTGCGTGGGACTGACATGAAGTGGCCAGAATGTACCGTACCTACAACACAATAAAACATCAACATGAAATGCAAAAGTTAACTATTACATCTTTTATCAATAGTCTTACAGGATTTAATACTGATACCATACCAAAACAAAAAGTTAATGAACTTGGAACAGGGAAAATCACCCTGAAATGAAATAGCTTCAGAGTTCAGCCTGGCCCCTGGGCCCATTTATTTATCTGATTGAATACAAGCTCAATCATAATCAAACAAAAACAAGTAGCGAATTTTTGAAGTATCACTTCGACGAATTGAAAATCTTGATCTGAAGCTGAAATATAAAATACTCACAAAATCCCTCTTATCTATTCCGATGACCACACCTCCAATTTACAAAACGCCCCATTGTATACACAAATCCCACATCTGTCCAATGGAATTCAGATCTTGCGATTTAGTTACATTAGTGGCGCAGTCGGTGATTCATTACGAAACTTTAATTTAGCAGCTGCTTCTTTAGAGCGGCTAGTTTCCCACACGCGATATACGTATCGCTCTGATGAAACTGTGAACCAGCCTTTTGCTTTTATCCGTTTGTTCGTTTCACATTTCTTTTGCCTTGCAACCAATTTTCTTCACTTGTAGCGTGGCATTAACCGTAGCAATACCCGAAACCTATGAAAATGCACAAGTCGACCTACGACCCTTATGTGAAGAAATCTGCGGATTGTGTGGTGCAAACCTGTAAGAATCTTGTATCTGTAAGAATCTTACCTTACCGTACCTTACCTTAGTTGGTCATCGGGTTATAAGGCCACTCGGCCTATGGGTCCCGCTCGTATCGAGTATCTTGGTACAAACAATGATACTGTAACCTTGCAATCTATTCCACACGGACACAAGTTAGACAAATATGCACACAACTACTACAACAGCATGAACCGGCGCCAGAACGACTTCTGAGGATGGAATGCCTGTGGACGCTCCAAGTTTCGGTACCACCGCCACTGAACGCACCTTTTTAGCTGATAGGATAAGGACTAAAGAAGCGACCTACGCAGATGATGAGCTGCAGTCGACGTGGCGGAAACCGTACCGGTTTGAGCTGCGCCCGGCTCCTGCTCAGCGAACTGCCCACAGGAGCCGTAACATTGCTCTCAAAAACGAAGAAAATCACAGCACACGGGCCAAACAAAAAAATGAGCAATCCAAAGAATGCATGACAGTACAGGATAGTGCCGTCAACCGTCCACTCCAACTGGGAACACAGTCCGTGTGACGCATATTACAAGACGCGAGACGAAAAAATAATATCGCCCCGGGAATCTGGAGCACGGTGGCCGGATGTGAAACGCATCACAACTATCACCCTCCACCCGCGAATCTCGAGCGGAGACAAACACATGACGTATTCGCGTCGACACCAATCTGCCGAGTCAACATTGCGGTTTAGTCCTACAAGAAATATGAGAAGTGCTCAGCTGTACATACATATAATCTCTGTACACTGTTACCGCGACTGCCTTTCGGAGTCAGTCAGTCATTTTGATCAGTGAGTCACGGAACTGGCCTAGCCTCGCCCTCGGTGGAACGCCCTAGTCCCAGCTCCCGTTGAGATACGGTATGACCGGTGAGAGAGGGGACTATCTCGCCAGCCAGCCAAACTGACGCACGACCCTGACTTCAGTCACAGACGCGAAGGGAGACTTGAGCTAAGAAACGACATGAGTAAATATTAAAGCGGGGGGAGCTCACATACCAGACACGCAACAGAAAAACCACACAGACAGGGACTTTCAGACATTTGCAAGCCGTCCTAACCGAAGAGCGCTTCAATACCGAACTCATGAAAGGAATACGGGATAAACTGTCAACGGTATCGGAACCAATACGGCACAAAAAAGACGAACTCGTATTGCAGCGTTCCGTTCCAGTCCGACTAGTCCCTTCCGGACAGCCCTGCCGGCTTGTCTCCTCCTGCTGCGGTTACGGCCGGAGTGTGCCGGTGCCCGGTATGGTTTCTGCTCAGCGTGGCCCAATGGAAGCTCCGCCCGCCCGTCAGCGGCCGGCCCCGGCGGCGACGACAGCGCGCGGCGGGCCGGCCGGCCACCCCCGTCACTTGCCCCCCACCAGTGCCTCGTCCATCAGCTCGTCGTCGATGACGCACGGCGAGGCGGCCGACGAGTGGGGCGACACCAGACTGGAGAACTGGTGCGGCGACGCCACCGGCGCCGGGCTCTTCACGATGTGGATCTGTACGGACGGCGAGGGAGGGAACGAGGCGCGCGGCACGGGTGGCGGCCGCGGCGGCGGCGGCGGGCGCGGCTCGCCGCCCAGCTCCGACCCCATGTCTCCGGAGTCGGCCGAGGAGGCGGTGCGCGCGCCGGCCGGCGGCCATAGGTCCGCCCCGCCGCCGGACGGAGCGCTCGGCTCTGCCGGCGCCGGACGCTCGATCTTGCGGATCTCTAGCGACTTGGGCAGCGGCGGCAGGTCGCCGCCCACCGCCAGCTCGGCGGCCGTCTTGTCCGAGCGGTGCTTGTCGCTGCGAGGCCGCACTCCGCTCGCCGACTCGGGGCGCTTCATCATCTTGGCCGACAGGCTCTTCTGCAGATCGCTGAGTGTGCTGGAAGACGAGTGTTTGCCGTCGCCACTCGATTGCTTCGGGAACACGAACGTCTTCTTGGAGGCGGGCCCGCTGGCGACGCCTGGTTTTAAACCAGATGGAGAGTTCCTCTCTCCGTCTTTTGAGCTCGGCGCTCTGCTGCCGCTGCTGGGGCTGGACGAAGACGACCGAGACTTGGTCTTATTGATCGTGAGCTTGATCCCCTCCGAGGACGGTTTAACGGTAAACTCTGTCCTTCGTCCGTCCTTTCCTACGCCCTCCTTGCCGGCCTCTTCGGCCGTGGCCAGAGTATTGTTCAGTTTGCTAATGACATCGTTCAACAAACCGGTCTTCCGAGATCGTCCAGGCGACTTTGACTCGGACGACGCTGATGATCGATCCCCACTGCCGCCGCCGCTGCCACCACCGCCGCCACTACCGGCCGGAGACGGGGCCGACCGCGAGCTGGAGCCGCCCTCTCCCTCTCGCTCCGGCCGCGGCCGATGTGACTTGGCCCTGTCCTTGCTGCTCTTGTCGCGGCTCTTCCCCGACGATCCGCTGCTCCGGAACGACGACTGGTGTGACGGAGACGGCGAGCGGAGCGACGACAGGCTCGGCTTTCCCGAGCTGGGCGGCTTGGGTGACGAGCCGTGCTTCGGACTGGCGCTGGGATGCTTCGGTGACGATGAGTGCTTCGGGGAGACGGTCAGATGGCCGTGCTTGGATGATGATGACGATGACGATGACGATGACGATTTTGATTTTGGCACTGGACTGGATGATTTCCCCGATGACGACCCGTGAGATTTGTTCGGAGAGCTGCCGGCGCTCGATGAGTGTTTCTTGGCCGGCGGAGAGGCCCCCTGTTTCATGGCCATCGGCTTGCCGCCACCCTCACGCCCACGCTCTCGTTCCCGCTCGCGGCCCGGCGTCGTACGGCCGCCGGGGGACTCGTCCCGGCGCCGCTTCTTGTCCGATCGCTCCTTGTCTTTGCGCTCCTTTTTACGCTCGTCCGGTCGGCTGTTCGGTATCGGGGTGATTGTCAGCGAGGGCGGAATATTGGGCTGACCGCCGCCGGGAAACGAGAACAGATCAGTGCGCTTGTCGGCGGCGCGCGGGGAAGGCTCGTCGGCCGGCCGGCGCGCGCGCTCCCGCTCCAGCTGCCGCACGGTGGCCTCGATCCCCTCCATTTCTGACTGCGGCGCTGGCGGCGGCGGCGGCGGCGGCGGGGGAGGCTGAGGACTGTCGGCACGGCCGGCAGACGGCAGCCGCGGTCTCTCGGCCGGGGACGGCGCCGACAGCGGCGACGGCGTGGGCGCCGGACTCGGCGTGGCCACGGCCGCCGGCGTGCTGGCCGCGCTGGGGCCGCCAGAGGCCGGCGCAGAGGACGCCGCCGTGGTGGCGGCCGGCGCGGCGGCGCTAGCGGTGGCCGTGGCCGTGGTGCCCGGCCACAGGCCCTGCATCTGGTTCAGTCCGAACGGCGGGTACGTGGAAAACCCCAGCGACGACCCGGCGTCGGAGGCCGCGTCGGTCCCTCTCTTGACGTCGGGCGTGTCTCCGGGCGTGTCAGTGGCGCCGGCAGAGGACACGGCCGGACCCGGCTTGGCGTCCCGTCGGCCGGCGGCCGCTCCGCGCAGACGCTTCATCAGGGCGCGCATGGTGACGGGGATGGAGAGACACCTGGCGGCGAGGGGCGGATGTCGTGAGATGACTACTCTGTGCCCACTACAGACAATGAGCTGTGCAGAAGGTAAAGTTAGCTACAACGTGGATGACTGGGCGGCCGTATCAGGAATAATAATGAAGCAGAAAAATAACACAAATATGAGGTCTGAACCACATTGCACTAAAATGAAGGTGATCACGGACTATCCCAAGAAGCGGTAATACAACATTCCGAGAGAAGAATGCCTAAACTCCATAGCATAAGTTCGTAGAAAATTGATTACCCCCATTAGTTGATGGCACATTAAAATAATCAAAATACAATGCAACTACATCAAAACCACTAAAATTGATGTAAAAAAATCAGAAATTACCATGAAAGCATACGCACATATAATTCAGTAGCTATTCATTTCGTAACTGGCCTCATTACCCCTCCCGGCCGTGTTCGGCCGCCGCCCTCAGGTGACTCACTTTTGCAGGACGGCGGTCGCCTGGTCAAAGTCGCTGTGTGTGGCCGTGTGTAGACGGCAGCGAGGCGAGCTGGACAGGTCGACCTCGAGTGTGGCCAGCGCATCCTCCTGTGGGTGCTCGAACGATATGGAGAGCCGCGAGCCGCCCATGGCGGTGAGCTCCATACAGACGGCGCCCTCCGTCACTGCGAGGGACAGACATCAGTCAGTACCGCCACTTGGAGGAGCAGACACATACGCGTCAGCTCCGTACAAACGGCGCACTGCGTCACTGCGGGAGGGGACATATACCGTCCGCACCGATACAGTGAGAAGGGACTCAGAAGTGATGGTTTGAAAGTGTACTTCTTCAACACTGACGACGGACAAAACACTCAAATCCAAGTAGCACATTACAGGTAGATCCACCATACCAGCTTCACACGGAAGAAGGCAGTGTCCTAAAATGGGTTGATTTGGGTGGGAAACGACATCAAATAAATATCATTTTGCTGACTCTCATCTCCAATTTTAAGAGCAATTTTCTGCTACCAATGTTACAGGGAAAAACATTTGCAAGGATGGTCGTTTTACATCTTACATTTTGCCACACTTTATGTGATCGATCCTATTTTCACTCTTTTTGGGCCATATCAGGACTGGTAATTCCACTCAAATCCCCCTTTTTCGGAGAGGAATTTCCCTCTGACACCCAAACCAAAACACAATTTTGGGACACTGGAAGAAGGTCAAAGAGCAATAACACAGTAGGTATCATCAAACGGAGAAGGTCAA